GTGTACCTGACCCAAGCCATGGTATTTTCAATAACCTCATATGGATGCGAAAGCTGGACAGTGAATAAGGAAGATCGTAGAAGAATTGATGCTTTTGAGTTATGGTGTTGGAGGAGAATATAGAAAGCGCCATGGGCTGCCAAAAGAACCAACAGATCTGTTTTGGAAGAAGTGCAGCCAGAGTGCTCCTTGGAGGCCACGATGGCCAAACTTCATCTCTCATACTTCGGACATATTGTCAGGAGGGACAAGTCACTGGAGAAGGCTATCATGTTTGGTAAGGTGGAGGGTCAGAGAAAGAAAGTAAGACCCCAGCAAGATGGATTGGCAAAGTGGCAGCATCAATGGGCTCAAGCGTGGCAACAATAGTGAGGTGGGCCCAGGGTCGGGCAGTGTTTCGTTCTGCTGTGAATAAGGTCGCTATGAGTCAGTACTGACTTGATGGCACCTGACAACAACAACAAAGTCTTTTTCAGAAGCCCAGGGAGAAACAGTTGAGGTTTTCCAAGTGATTCTAAGGTTCAGTTAAAGTTGTCACTGTCCATGAAATCTTAACTTGTTTTGATTGTCACCTATTTACCCAACAGATGGTAACCAGATTTCTCCTGCCTCCAAATTCCCAAGTGGAGAAGTGAAGACTGCCACCCCCCTCCCCCAATCCTTCCCAGCCCAGAGGAGAACAAAGCAAAGGGAGAAGAGGGGCTTCAACAGAGCTCAGCCAAGGCGGCTTCTGGGCAACCCCGGAATTCTTTCCCAGTTCATTAAAGTTAGCACAAGCACCAAAGTAAATGGTGTTGTTGTTGTTGTGAAGGGCCGTTGAGTCGGTTCTGACTCATAGCAATCCTGTATAGGGTTTCTGAGGAGAGGCTGGCCTCGTGGTGCAGTGCTAACCCTACAGCAACACACCAAAACATGAGACAAAATCTCAGCGGGTTCTGAAAGGGTAAGCGAGCTCCCTCTCCGGGGTAACATGTGATGAGGTTCTTCCAACCCTTCCCAGATAGATTCTGCACATTGACAGACTTAGCAAATATATTAAAGCATGGGTTTTGAAGTGTGACTAGAATAACCAAGTTATCAATCTAATCTGACCTCCGAAAGGAAAAATGAGCTCTAGCTTTTCTCCCATCTCTATGGAGTGATTTACCTTGTAAATAACATACATCCAATGGTGCATCTTGTGGCGGTAGCTGAGGGAACATTGCTGTTTCCTCAGACGTCTGGCTTTCAATTTGGAGAGCATTCCTGAGGAGCACATGTCTCCCCCACACTGCCCACCTCTGGGACATGATGTAGAAGCAGGAAAGGGAAGCGATCAGCCAGTGCCTATCACACAACAGCTGGGGAGTGAGTGAATCTGCCTCCTGCCAGCACTTACAGTCTGCCCTCAAGTGCAAGGGGGCATAGACAGAGGACAGACCCCCCCATTCCTCTGTTTGTAATAGTCTCTGGAAGGATCAGCTGCTAAGGCTCAGCCTGGTTATCTGAGTGCCCACTTGATTGTTTCTGGTTATTTTCTGTACGTTTGGAATAGTTCATTTCAAATGTTTCATTGACGTTATCAGAAAAGAGCAAAGTGCCCACATTAGTCCTACTACTGTAGGGATGTGTGAGGTTCTCTTGAAAGCTGAAACAAGGCCCAGACAAAGGTTCCTAAAGGCCACCCCCATTAGAGACGAACCAATGCAGGTGAAAAAGATTTACTGATGAAGATCAAAGACCACAGCCTTCCACATGGGTTGCACCTCAATGTAAAGAAAGCAAAAATTCTCACCATTGGACCAATAAATAACATTATGATAAATGGAGAAAAGAATGAAATGGTCACACATTTCATTTTTCATGGATCCACTATTAACACGCATGGAAGCAGCAGTCAAGAAATCAAACTATGTATTGCAGCAGGCAAATGTGCTTCGAGACCTCTTTAAAGTGTTAAAAGATGTCAGCTTGAGGACTAAGGTGTGCCTGACCCATGCCATGGTATTTTCAATAGCTTCAAATACATGTGAAGTTGGACAGTGAATTAGGAAGACCATAGAATTGATGTATTGGAGTTGTGGTGTTGAAGAAGAATATTGAGCGAACCACAGCCAGAATGCCCCTGAGAAGTCAGGATGGCGAGACTTTGTCTCTCATACTTCTGACACGTTGCCAGGAGGGACCAGTCCCTGGAGAAGGACATCA